AAGTTTAAAATATACAAAAACATCAAGCAATGCATAAAAATACAAAATTTATCATGAAACTGTTCATTCTTATCTAAGATTGACAGCAATAGGTAAGTTAGTCATGCTACTCATTCCCCTGCAAAGGTTTAGCACTTTAGAAATATATTCTCATAGAAGGGAAGCCAGTGGCATTGAGGATGAGAATGGGGGAAGGGAAAAGGAAGTTAAGGGGGGATGAAATCGACAAAATTATGCTATGCGCAGATACAAATATATCCAAATGAATGTCACTATTATGTATAATTATAATGCACGAATAAAATGTTTTTAAAAAGGAATTTAATAGTGATAATCAGTGGGTGATGGAATGGGGATCTTTTTATTATTTATTTTTGGCGTATCTGCATTTTCTAGTTTCTTAATGTTCATAATACTGCATTTGAAACAAAAATTTAAAAAATATATTAAAAAACACTGAAATATAGAGTTTCTGGGAGTTTTAAAATTCAAAAATCACATTTTTTCATTTTAGGTAATGTTTAATTTGATCACTTAATGCAATTAATGTGGTCAATGGTGACAAAATTTAAGTGGGAATCTGACTTAAAAATTCCTATGGGAGAATCTGTGAGTTACCCAGTTCAACACAAATATCCATTAAACATGCATTAATTGTTCCAGAAGGAAATTATTGTTCCAGAAGGACAAAAGGCCAAGTGAGCTGAAATACCAGGTGCTTAATTTATAAAGTCAATAAAAGCACTCTTTTGTAAGCTCTTCTCAGGTCATAGCATATTATCAGGTAAGTCTGGCACTAAAATCACTCTATGCTTAAATACTTCACAAGGGCACAAAACAAGGGAACATACAATAAGAGCTTCTCGAAGGTACTTTGTGAGAGACCAAATACTGTGTGAATTTATTCAGCTTTCAAGAACACAGAGGTATTTTAAGTTTTTTTTTTTTTTTAAAAAAGGTTACCAGCAACACACTCAAGATAAAAATACTTTACTATTTGCAGTTATAATAATGCACAGAATTTTTACAGCAGTCACAGTAGGAAATTCTCCAAAAGGTCTTCCTGATGGTTTGAGAATATGTTCCTCCTCTCTTTGCAAGTGGTATGTCTTGAGTTTCTGCATGGGAGGTCAGGAGTAGTGCCTGAGAATTCTGCATTTCTAGTAAGTTCCCAAGCAAGGCAATGTTGATGTTCCTGGTCCAGAGACAGCACTTCTGTCATAAACAGTTACAAACTTTTTATTGAAACAAATTTACAATATCCAAAAACCTTCCACTATCCCAAGGATGCAAAGGAAAGGGGGTCGGGCAAACTGCTAAAGCAATAGGAAGTCCACAGTTGATGACTTTTCAAACACGTAATCAGGAATCTGGAGTCTCGGACCTGGGCTCAAATCTGAGCTCAGCCTTGCGTTAGCTCTTGGACAGGCTATGAACTATCACTAACCCTTAGTTCCTCCTCTGTTACACAAGGATGGCAGCACGGCCACAGAGCTGCAGAGAAGGCTGCCTTTTGCCTAATACCACCTTACATATGCTGGCACTGTCATAATTCCCTCTTCCCTTTTCTGTAGTAGACAAAGACACTTTTCCAATGGCTGAATACTGTTTTTAAATGTGAAAACACTGACCCCCTTAGAGCAAATTAAGGCTCAAATGTTAATTTGTAAGACTTGAAATCCCCGCAGAGCCTTATTTTTCACTTCCCTCTCTGCCCTTGTTCATCTTATTTCATATTTATGGGTGGCCCAAAACTTTTCACAGCTTCACCATTTTGATATTTTTAAGCATACAGACCTTGTTTGCAACTTCAATTTGTTTTTAAACTTAAAGGAGCCATAGCACCTCAAGTAATGATATTGATTCCATAACATTCACCATATTCAAAAGATTTTTCAGTTCACATCTTTAGAAAAGAATATTTTCAGCTATAAGAGATAGCTGAAATTGATTCTCCCCCAAATCCTACTCCTAAGCATGAATATTGCCACATATCAAGTTTGTTTCTTTTTATAGCTAAGTAGTATTTTACTGATGATCATTTCAGTTAATTATGTATTTTTTTGATTATTACAAATAAAGCTATGAATATCTGTGTACAAGTCTGTGTGGGAGCATGTTTTTTCTATTTGAATAGATATTTAGTCATAGAATGCTGCATCATATGGCAGGTATAATTTTCACTTTTAAGAAACCACCAAGGGCTGGGGATATAGCTCAGTTGGTAGAGTGCTTGCTTCACATGCACAAGGCCCTAGGTTCTAACCCCCAGCACCACAAAAAAGAACCCCCAGCACCACAAAAAAAAAAAAAAAAAAAAAAGATTCCTTTCTTTTGGGGCTGGGGATGTGGCTCAAGTGGTAGTGCGCTTGCCTGGCATACGTGCGGCCCGGGTTCAATCCTCAGCACCACATACAAACAAAGATGTTGTGTCCGCCGAAAAACTTAAAAAAAAAAAAAAAAAAATATATATATATATATATATATATATATATATATATATATATAAAATTCTCTCTCTCTCTTTTAAATAAAAAAAAAAAAAAAGAAACCACCAAGCTTGTTCTCTTTTTTTTTTTTTGGTGGTGCTGGGGATCAAACTCAGGGCCTTGTACATGCTAGGCAAGTGCTTACCACTGAGCCACTTCCCCAGCCTACCAAACTGCTTCTAAAGTGGTTGTGCTACTTTACATGGCTACCAGCCTGTGGGAGCATAAGTTGCTCCAAGTTCTTGCCAACTTAACTCTATTCAGTCTTAGAAAAATTCATTTAGTCAGTGTGCAGTGGTAACTCATTCTGGTTTTCATTAGCATTTTCCCAATAATGAGTAAAATTTAGCACCTTTCATGGGCTTATTTGTGTATTTTCTTTGTTCAAATCTTTTGCCTATTTTTTTTTTTTGGGGGGGGGTACCGGGGATTGAAGCCAGGGATGGTTAACCACTGAGCAGCATCCCCAGCCCTTTTGATTTTTTGAGAAAGAGTATTGTTAATTTGCTTAGGGTCTTGCTAAGTTCCTAAGGCTAGCTTTGAACTCACAATCCTCCTGCCTCAGCCTTCCAAGCCCCTGGGATTACAGTTGTATGCCACTATGCCCAGCCTTTTGTCCATTTTTAATTGGGTTGTTTGCTTTCTTACTGAGTTGTGATATTTCTTTATATAAATATGTCCTTTGTTTGATATGTTTTGCAAATATTTTTCCCCAGCCTGTGGTCTGACTTCATTTTCATAAGTCTTAGAAGAGAGAAACTTTCTCAAGAAGAAATAACCCAAATAGCTCTCTATTAAAGACAGTGGATTTACAGTTAAAAACTTTCCCCAAAACAAAGCCTTCCCAATTCAGCTCCAGATGGACTTTAGTATTAAACAGCTGAGGAATAAAAAAGAAATCCACAAAAGTGCTTCTAAAAAAATAAAAACAGAAGGAAGTGTTGACAACTCATTCTGGGATTCCAGCATTGTCTTGATACAAAAAATAGATAATCACAAGAAAATAAAGCTACAGAATATGATTTATGAACACAGATGCAGAAATATGTAACAAAATGTTAGAAAATAAAATTTAACAATGTACAAAATGGAGGAGGACCAAGTGATGTTTATCCTGGGAATGCAAGGTTGGTTTAACATTTGAAACTCAATCAACATAATTTACTGTATTAACTGACTCAAGCAGAAAAAGTGTTTGAAAATAAAGGACATCAACTCCTGATCAGATGGGGAACTTCTCAACATTTTTCTCCCCTTTGTACTGGGGATTAAACTCGGTGTTTTACCACTGAGCCATATCCCCAGTCCTTTTAGTTTTTGAGACAGGGTCACAGGGTCTTGCTAAGTTGCCCAGGCTGGCCTTGAACTCACTCCTGCCTCAGTCTCCCAAGTTACTGGAATTTACAGGCATGTGCTTTTTCAACCTTTTGCTTATAAAATGGCATCCCATGATGCCACCTGGCATAAAAGCCAAAATCCTTACCATCACCTTGAAATCACATGGCAACCTCTTCCATCCCTTCTGCCACCTCTCTCCCCTTCAGCTGTCATACTTGTGCCACTCTGAACAAGTAGGTGAATCCATCAAGTATGCTCTGACCTCAGAGCCTCTCCCTTTTTCCCTCTGCTGGAATGATTTCCCCTGAATAGCTATATGGCTTGCTCCCTTTACTGTACTTCTTACAAGTTGGCCTTTGCTCAAATGTCACCTCCCCAGAAAATTCCCCCTCAATGACCCTTTATAAAATGGCCCACCTTATCACTTATCCCTTGCTTTTTTATTTTGCTTTTTCTTCCTTGTATTTCATTCATATGTAGTTGTTTCCTATCTGCTCCCTCCTAATTAGAACATATGATCCTCAAGGCAGTGATTTTGTTCAGTGCTGTATCCCCAGTGTCTAGAATTAGTCACTGGAATATAGAAATTGGTAGGTAAGATTTGTGCATTCTTTGAGCAAGAATGATTGATTTTCCAAAGTCCTTATCAGATATAAGCCTTTAACAATTTTAACCAATCTAATATGTGGGTCCTATCCTTTATTTTGGTTTGTATTTCTTTGAATTTGAATGAGACTGACTCCCTGATTTTTGGATATGCCTATTTCTTTTTTTTTCAGAAAACTATCTTTTCATACATATCTCTCAATATTTGTCTTTTTCCTATTTCTTTGTGAGAACTTTTGATATACTAAAGAAATTACTTCTTTGTCCATAATACGCTGCAAATATATTTTCCCAGTTTGTCATCTGTCTGTGTAGTCATGTTATCAGTCTTTTCCTTTCTTTTGATTCTGGGTCTGTGGCATGCTTATGATGTCTTTCACAATTCCAAGATCACTGAAGTATTCATACTCGTTTCCTTATAAAACTTTTACATATGTATATGTGAAAGATTGTAATGTTTATATCTCTGATCCATCTGGGATTTATGTTGTGGTAATAAAGGGTAAGGAAGTAATCTAGTTTTAAAAGTATATTTAGTTTTAAAGAATAATGAATACAATTTCTAGATACCATTTATATAATTTATTGTTTTAAATTTCTCAAAGAACCACGGTCTTGTGCATGTTGGGCAAGTGCTCTCCCCAGCCCTTCGCCTGTTTTACAATACATATTTTTATACACAATTGATGTGCATATGTGTGCACACGCCCATGCTCAGTAATATTTTTCATAATACCCTAGAATGTTATACGTTATGTTACAATTTGACATTACTTCACTGTTAGAAGTATTTATCCAAGAAAGTTTCTATTTCATTTTTTCAATGTCTTCGTACTTTCCTGGATCTTGAAAATTTCTGTTTTGTTTCACTATATTTTTTTTTAAAAAGTTTCTTTTCAATTAAGCTCACTTCTTCATGGAGAAGAGATGTCTTTATTCTCAGCAAGAAGGAGAAGAGTTTGAGTATAAACTGGTAACTCAGAGAAAAATTTGATTCTTCATAGGTTGTCACATGTTTACAGTAGCTAGAAGGGGAAGAAAAAGGATTAAGTTGTCTTTAAATGGTAATTCATAAATGTATGCACCCATCCTTTGCACATCCCTCAAATAACTTAGCAAGTATATATAGTTATCCTTAAAATAGTACTATGGGTTAGAAGAAAACTTAGATCAATCTGGCAAAACTTTTTAATTATATAAAAAAAGCACTTTCACATTGTCTGCAATCACTATGCAAGGGACACAAGTGTATGAAGAACCAGGCCTTGTAAGTCCCCACCATGAGTGTGTAAGTTATTTCCACTCCACATTGGCCCCTGTCCCTCTTCTTAACATGGTCAAAGAAAGCAAAAACAGTAGGGGAGAGAATCCAAAGCCTCACTCAAGCTAGGCAAGTGCTTTACTAATGAGCTACATCCTCAGCAACAACCCCCACTTTTTTTTTTTTTTTTTAATTTTGAGACAGGTTCTTACTAAGTTGCCCAAGCAGGTCTCAAACTTGTGATCCTTCTACTTCAGCCTCCTAAGTAGCTGGGATTGCACGTTTTTTAAAAGCTAACAAAAGAAAACAAATAATTCCCAACTTCCATCCAAAATAAGATCCCAGACCTATAATGTTGAGTGCCATACTGTATGGAATGTTGACAGAAGAATTTACCATATACTTTCATATACTTTAAAACAGTAGAAATAAATCTGATCAAATCTCTTACTATCACCAAATCTCTAATTAATGCTACCAATCTCCAATTCACCAAAGTATTAGCAATTCAGGGCACAGAAGAACATGTAAAATGGTATCCTACGACCTATAATCAGCAAAGTCCAGATTATGGGACGTTGTATAGGACACATGACCTGCATTACTCAATAAGTAAATTGTAAGGGGTTGGGATGGGGAGTGCGATAAGAGAGGAACTATAGGAACTAAAACACTGAAGGGATATGTCAACCACTTGCAATAGATGGGCCTTACTTAGATTCTGAGTGAAACTCATTACAAAACTGATAACTAAAAATCTAAACACTGACTGCATGTTTGATAATATATTAAAAATTACTTGTCTGATTAATAGTATCAGGGTTTTATTTTTACAACTGTTATAATGCTTATGATCTGCTTCCAAATACCATGGGGGTAGAAGGATGAAGGAGTGAGTTGTGTTTGGGTGAAACAGACTAGCCATGCCCACAAGTGCTGAGCTGAGCATAGGGGGTTCATTATACTTGTCTCTCTACTTTTGAATATGCTTGAACTGGCCCTAATACAGTTTAAAAAGCAAGTGAACAAATAATATTTGAGATATTATGATTTACATAATGTATGGGGCCTATGTTGCTGAATCACATATGCATCATAAAGCTATGCCACCATCATCTGTGGCTCTAGATAGCTGCTCTTAGTTCTCTCATTTGTAAATTAGGAAAAAAACCTAAAACAAAACAAAAAAACACAACAGCATTTGCACCTCTCAGGGTTGATAAAAAGATTAAGTAAGAATACATATTAGCACTTAACCTAGTGCCTGGCACATACTAAGGGCTCAAAAATGTTCACTTTAAACATTTTTCATTTTCACTTAAAATCTTAAGGTAACTTTAATAATACAGAATAAAGTCAACTAGTAGGGAATTTAAAAGTTGTATCATCTGTTCACTGCTTGGTTTAATAAAGATCAAACATAAGCCATGTATAGTAATTCCTCCAAATGCAGTGATTTCTTGCTTTCCTCCTTTTTGCGGGGAGGGTACTGGAGACTAAATCCAGGGCCGTGCACACCCTAGGCCAGCACTCCACCACTGAGATGCATCCCAAGCCCTGTTTTGCTTCCCTTTTACTTTCAGTTATATTGAGATTTTTTCAGACAAAATGTTATCATACACACACACACACAAAAAGTGAACTTACGGACCATAAGGAAAGCTCTATTTCTACCCCAGAAAGATAAGAAAAGGTATCAGACATCCCTGATATACTAAGAACTTGTTATTTCCAAGTTAAACCACTGACAACTTAAAATGGATACCTGCTTTATCATAAACTCAGAAATCTTCACTAAAGTTATAAGCTATAAAACAAAATACTGCACATTATTAACTTCTCATTGCCATTCATTCTGCAGTGAGTAGAACAAGTGACGTCTCTTGAGCTCTGCTTGACATGTAACATAAATGAGTATGGTAAAAGGATGCTGCAAGTTTTGTTTTGTTTATGTGTGTGTGCGCGTGTGTGGTATTGTAGATTGGACCCAGGGGTGCTCTACCACTGAGCTATATCCCAGCCATTTTTATTTTATTTTGAGAAAGGGTCTTGCTACATTGCCCAGGCAGGCCTTGAACTTGGGATCTTCCTGCCTCAACCTCCTGCATTTCTGGGATTACAGGCATGCACCACTGTGCCCAGCCCAAAATGTTTATATAAACAATTTTATGCCCAATAAAACAGGTCTAAATTTATAAGACAATAGTGCTTTAAAGGCATAACCTTCCTTAGAGGTTCAAATGTGCATGCAGGTTGGTAGTACATGTCTATAATCCCAGCTACTCAGGAGACAGGAGGATCACAATTTCGAGTTCAGCTTGGGCAACTTAGCAAGACCCTGTTTCAAAATAAAAATAAACAGCTGGGCTCAGTGGTAGAGTGCTTGCGTCACGTGTGAGGCACTGGGTTTGCATCTCAGCACTGCATGTAAATAAATGAATAAAATAAAGGTTCATCAACAACTAAAAATATTAAAAAAATAAATAAATAAAAATAAAAAGAGCTGGGCATGTAGCTCAGTGGTAGAGCATGCCTGGGCTCAATCCCCAGTACCAGAGAGAGAGGGTAAGTTCAAATGTATGGGAAAGATATTAGGAATAGTCTCTGAATGTACACAAAAAGCAAACTGGGTAGCACAAATTAATGTTTTGATGGTGTCCAACATGTTCATATACGAGTATTGCTTTTTTACTATAGCTTTAAAAGAACAATTAAATATTCAAATCAAATTTTTGTGGTACCCACAAAGCACCTCCATTTCCTGTGGAACAGAACTAGAAAACCACAGCTCCACTCCCTCCTATGGAGAGAGGTGAACCATCTGCCCCTTACAGGCAGGTCAAGATTGCTCTTCTGACCTCCCAGTTGTCATAACTGGCCTACCTGAACATGGGGGCTACTATCAAGTGAACAACAGTGAGGGTGCAGATTCACAGAATATTAGCTCTGCCTCGGGAGGGACAAACCACTCTCCCCCCTGGAGTGCTGCTGGGGCCCTGCTCTGCCTAGCTCTCCAAGCACCAGTGCTCTCACCATCATTTTACAGTAAAAGTGCGTCTCTTCCAAACCCTCAGAAGTGAGTCCTGTCTAAAAAATTATCTATATAGCTGAAGGTCTGCTTTCTTTAGCATCAAAGACTTCATTTTAACCACCTGGAAGGAAATCTTTAAAAAATGAATTATGTATTACTTATTATTATTGGTACTGGGGATTGAACCCAGGTATACTTAATCACTGAGCCAGCCCTTTTTAAATTAAAAAAAATTTTTTGAGACAGGATTTCACTAAGTTGCTTAGGGCTTCACTAAATTGCTGAGGCTAGCCTAGAACTTGTGATCTTCCTGCCTCAGCCTCTCAAGTCACTGGGATTATAGGCATGTGCCACTACACCCAGCTTTCTTGACTATCTTGAACTAAGCATATTAGCATAGTGTAGTTTTTTTTAAAGCCTTTATACTTCTATTATTACAACCTGTCTGCTTTATTGTAAAAGTTAGAAAATATGGCAAATATGGCTACAAAAAACAAATCCAAAGCAAGCACACAGCATTGTGGGACAAGTTCTGTGTTAAAGTAGACACCATCAGACCTTCTCAGTGACATGGAGGTATGAGTTATACGTCGTGAAGGGACTTCAAACCACTGTAATTTGAGTGCCTTTGTATGCTTTGGATTTGATGCTGGATCCTCCTCTATTGTTTGTCATTTATGTTTGTTGTGATTTATAAGCAGAGTACCCATTAGATCCCTCTAATTTTTTTTTTTCCCGATTATTAGGCTTCTGGAAATCAGACAGCTCAGCTGGACAGAAACACACTTGGAGGCAGTCTACAAGCTCTCTGAGAAGTAAATAAATTTTTTGTGGTTTTTGTGACATTTTGATTGCTTGGATGAAGGCTTTTTTGTTCACCCTGTGCTTCTAGACTGTGGTCTCAACTAGGCGAAGTGGGCAGATAGCTGTGGAACATAAAATCATGGTATTACTGAAACTGTCTAAGTTACAGAAGTTACCGTTCAGGAAGAGAAGCAGAGAAGAAAACCTCGACTATTTAATCTTAATTATGTCAAGGTCTCCTTATAGCTCACTATGTTCTACATGGCATGAACTCTAAGAATATCCACACATCTGCCCATGCACCCTTTGAAAAGCACAGACCTATCAGATCAGTCTAGCAGAATATCTTTATTCTCAGGACATACTTAAGGAAACACCAAGACGTAAAGGGGAATGATATATGTCATTCAGAAAAAATATGTATTTAAAAATACAGTGGGTTCTCTGAATTAGCACTGACACTTCTACTGCTTGGCAGCCTCATTGCAGGTTAATTTAGCTAGTGGGAATAGCTTGTGTTAATTGCAAGACATCACATTTCTTGATTTTACCAACTTTCCTAAATTCTTACATAAGACTCAACGTATAATTCTGATTTTTTTTTTAGATATTTTTTAGTTGTAGTTGGAGACAATACCTTTATTTTATTTATTTATTTTTATGTGGTGCTGAGGATTGAATCCAGGGCCTCACACGTGCTAGGCAAGTGCTCTATGGCTGAGCCCCAGCCTCAGTCCATAATTCTGATTTTCTTGACTATAAGCTTAGGATCTTCTGGTGGGCTGGGGGTGGGGCGTAGCTCAGTGGTAGAGTATGTGGTTACTTAGTATGTTCAAGAGCCTGGGTTTAATTACCAGCACCTTCTGGCTCTTTTACATATGTGATTTTTTTTTTTTTTTTTTTATCAGAAAGACTATACCTTCAGGCCAAACTGGAGATTTCATCATGCCTGTTTTTTTGTGTTCTAAAAGCATCACGTACCTTCTACAGAATTTCTGGGTACTAAGCCAGTATAATGAATTCTTGGTCATCAGCGACTGGCCTTTCTTTATCAGGATTCCCTGGAGGCTATGTCCATGGAAACAAGTTCTATCAGCATCTTCTTTAGCCCAGTTGAACTGAAAACTTGAAGGGCTTTTTTTTTCAATAGTTGGTGTTGAATCAACCAGTGCACTAAATTGCTTTTGTAGATTTACCACCATTTCTGGAAATGAAGGAAAAAGAACAAAGGAATAAAACAAAAACTAACATTAAATCAAAAAGCCTGGAGTTCCCTTGATAGCAATGTCGGGTTCTCAGTTTTGACAAACATGTGATGCTAAAGTATGATGGTAACTTAAGCAAAATTGAAACTAGATGGGGGCATAAGGGATCTACTTAAAAATGATTAAAATGGTGAATTATATATGTGTATATTTTATCACAATTTGTAAAAGAGAACATACAAGACAATCTAAGGGAAATTCTTTAGAAGTCATAAAAATACAGGATTTTAGATTCTGATGGGAACTTAAGCTCTGTTTTGAATAACGACACATTCCTCAAATAAAGAGATTCCTACGGAGACTCCTTGCAGAGGGGGATGCTCCTCTGCATATGTGCATTAGAACATTTCAAAGAAGTAGGAAATTTATTTATGCATTCACTTTTCAAGTCAAGATATCTAGCTATTCTACAACTGTGTTGTTAGCTACCCTGTGTGAGTGAGAAACAATTCAACTCACCTCTTCTTTTATATACTACTGGTCTGTCGATGTGTGAGTAGTAGAGTGGTTTTTCACTTTTCCACATGTACCTGTGCAAGGTAGAAAAAAAATGCACCTCAGCACAATTCAGGACAGTTTCTCCACGCAGTATCTGGAATTTCTGATATTCAGTTTAACAGCTCTGGCTTGGAATGGCCTATTGGCACATGTCTACACTGTCTATAGAGCTCACACCCCAGAAGAACTAAGTAAGAGCAGGCCAATAGAATGGGGTGCTCTCCCTTCCATGCTGCCGCATCCTGAAGAAGCTATTAATTACACAAAACAAAATAGGTTTCTCTCACTATAAAATTCCCTTGCTTTTTATCACAATTTGTAAAAGAGAACATACAAGACAATCTATATTGTCTATATTCTGTCTTTATCTATACTCTGATAAAGTGAAGCCATCTAAGAAATTGTTCCTATCGCTTTTGCCTTGACTGCCTTTTGCTGACGTCTAAGTTAGTGGTACTTCTGATTCTGAAACTCATGAAGTAGACAAGAAATGCCAGTCTTTTTTGGAAATCTATCCTATTCCTGGTGAAAACAAGGATGGTAAAGCCCTACTAGTGTTCCCTGCACTGACTCAACCTATTCTTGCCAGAGAAAGCCAGTCAGGGAGGTTTTCTGTAAAACAGGGATGTTGGATTAAGCCGGCCCTGCAGCATCCCCTCAGGGGCAAGACTAAGAGTCATCTTGCATTCCTATAGATTATCAGTGACCAGGCCTAAATTCAGGCCAAAGGGAAGTGATATGTTTGATTCTGGTTATAGTGACCACTGCTAAACTTTGCAGATGCTGCAGCTCTGGACAAAGATAACAATGTTCATTTAAAATCTCATTTTCATTCTGAGTTCCCTGAAGTGAAGGACTTTCATAACCTGTGGCAATGAAAAGAACATTGAATCAGAGGACCTGGCTCTGCCACTTTCTAGTGAAAGGTCTAGGGACCTTAAGTGACAAATGATGGAGATTCTCAAAGGCACAGACTACCTCAGTTTTCTTTATGTCCCTAGTGTTGGGAAGGAATAGCATACAATAGGGACTCATTTAAATATCTGTTATTGAATAAATGAATAAACAAATTAATTTAACATCTCTAATTAGTTTACTATAGAACTGGTGTGAGGAATAATTTAGACAATACACGTACAGGTTCTTTAAATCCTTTTATTATCTAGATCTTCCCTCTTTCCTTTCATTGTGGTACCAGGCTTGAACCCAGTGGTGTTCTACCACTGAACTACATTCCAACCCTTTTTATTTTTTGAGATATGGTTTTACTGTTGCTGAGGATAGCCTTGAATTTGTGATCCTTCTGCCTCAGCCTCTCAAGCTGCTGGGATTACAGGTGTGTGCCACTACATGCAGCTAGATATTTCTTAACTGCCTGGCTAGTAGGCACTTTCTTATCTGTGGACTTTCTGGAAAAGATGATAAGAAATAAGAAGTCAGAAATATAATGATTTGTATTTATCTACCTGTGGTATCTTACAATTGGTAATTTTTACCATTTTTTCAAAATATTTTTTAAGCTGTAGAGGGTTACAATATCTTAATTTTATTTATTTATTTTTATGTGGTGCTGAGGATTGAACTTAGTGCCTCACACATGCCAGACAAGTGCTATACCACTGAGCCACAATCCCAGTCCCTTTACCATTCTTTTTAACAAGGGAAAGAAAATATTCATAAAAATAGGGGTTTTAACAATACGATGATAGCAAATGATTGCTTTAATGAATGGAAAAATTGAAAATTTTCAAGGATTTAAGAAATACTTAATCAAATCAGTATAATCATGACTATACATAAAAGAGAGAGGTTAACTTTTTACTTTAAATTTCCACAGTGATTTAAAATGTTAAGAACAGAAATAAAATTTCTCTAGGCCAGATGCAGTGGCACATGCCTATAACTCCAGCAACTTAGGAGGATGAGGCAGGAGGAGTGAAAGTTTAAGGACGGCCTCAGCAACTTAGCAAGACTCTATCTCAAAGTAAAAACTAGAATGTAACTCAATGGTAAAGTGTCCCTGGGTTTAATTCCCAGTACAAAAAAAAACCAAAAAATTAAAAAAAAAATAAATAAAAAAACAAGAGAGAAAGAAGAAAAGAAATGAATTTCTCTAAATATCAGGAAGCAGTAGAGATTTGTAATCAGTATAACATAGGAGATAATCTTCCTAAAATTATGTATAAACTAAAATTTGGTGAAGCATACCACATTTAAAATAAATCAGAGAGGGCTAGGGTTGTGGCTCCGAGGTAGAGCGCTTGCCTAGCATGCATGGAGCACTGAGTTCGATCCTCAGCACCACATAAATATAAAATAAAGATATTGTGCCCACCTATAACTAAAAAATAAATATTAAAAAAAATAAAATAAATCTGAGAGCTTGTCATTTAACCCTATGGTAGCTGAGTCTGTCTTCACTTTTTAAAATTTATTTTCTTAAATGATAAAAGTAACAAAACTTAAAGTAATAAAGAAGTTCCCCAAAGTCAATAGTCTAATCGAAGTCCATGGGTGTACTCACTGTAAACATTTCTTAAGAATGCCTAGCCTAGATAGGTGCTTCTTATTCATTTATAATAAACACCTCCACAAGTGGCAATCATGCTAAAATCAAGGAGGCATTATTACTTCCTTAGAGTCACATGCCCAGAGGATAGGAAAGGTGACTTAAGATAACAATGCTCAACTGTCTGGACAACCCCTCTGAAACTACAGCTTCTTCAAAACTTTGCTATACTGTACCTTCCTCTTCCCATTACATAAAGCTACCAAAACAAAAAACAACAACAACAACAACAACAAAAAAAAACATGCCACAAAGGCCTTAGGGTTTTCTAGCTGGAAGACACTTGCATATTTTCTTCATCTCTATGTGATTTGTTTCCCTATTTAAAAAAAAAATTAGGGCTGGGGATGTAGCTCAGTGGCAGAGTGCTTGTCAAGCATGCATGAGACACTGGTTCAATTCTCAGCACCACATAAAAATAAAGGCATTCTATCCATCTATAACTATAAAAATTTAAATATAATTCACATATAGTAAACTCATCCTTTTCAGTGTACTTATGATTAGCATTAACACACACATTACTGAGTGCCTGTAATCCCAGTGGCTGGAGAGGCTGAGGCAGGAAGATTGCAAGTTCAAAGCTAGCCTCAGCAATTTAGCAAGGCCCTAAGTCAACTTAGTGAGATCCTGTATCAAAATAAAACAAACACACACATATAGTTATATAATCACCACTACAATTAACATACAGAACATTCCATCACTCCAAAAATCTTCCAGGTCCTTTTCAATACCTTGACCTTGGGCAATGATTAGTCTGCTTTTTTGGTTCCTATAAGTTCAGCCTTGCTCAGAATATAATATAAATGGAATCATGCTAGGTAACTTTTTGAGTCTTTCATTTAGCATAATGTATTTAAGATTCTTTCACACTGTTGGATGTAGATTTGTTCCTTTGCATTGCTCAATGGTGCTGCATTGTATGGATATACCAGTTTGTTCATCCAGTCACCAGCTGAAGGACATTTGGACTGCTGCCAGTTTTGGATGAATATGAATGAATCCACTATAAACGTTTCTGTACAGTTTTTTGTATGAACATAAGTTTTCATTTTACTTGGGTAGACATCTAGGAGTGGAAAGTGTTTGATACTGTAATTAAATATATGCTTAACTTTATGGGAAAATGCCAAATGTTCCAAAATGGCTGTACCATTTTGCAATCCCACACTTGGTATGATTAGTTTTTGTTTTTGTTTTGTCTTGAGTCATTCTAATCTGTTGTAATGGATATTGTATGTGGTTTTAATTTGTACTTTCCTACTAACTGATAATACTGAGTATCTTTTCATGTGCCATCAATACATCATCTTTGGTCTGTTTATTTAAAAACTGAGCTGTTTTCTTATTATATTATAGATAAAAATCTTTTATCAGGTGATTTGTACATAATTTCTTTCAATATCTGGCTTCTTATTCTCTTAAGTGTCTTTTGAGGAAAATTTCTTCTGATAAAGTCCAATTCATCAATATTTTTCACACATAAACTATGATTCTGATATCATATAAGAAATTTCTGCCTAACCCAAAAGGCCACAGGGCTCTTCTACATGCTTTAAAATGTTTTTCCATGTTTTTCTCAATACATCCTATGACAAATAAGTCACTAAAGCAGCTTAGTAATCTTTTTGGGGTTTCCAACTATTGTTTACTAGTGTTTTTTATCATCTCATGCATAGGGACCCATGATTAGCTGTAGAAAGTGTTTTAATCATTTTCATCTGACAACATGGAAGATGATATCCAGAGGAACAGAAAGAAAAATTAGAAATTTAGAGTTGTCAGCACTGAAAACAAACAAACTACAAAAGGAAAGGAAAAAAGAAATTGGTATTTTAAAATGGAGAGAGATAGGGAAGAACAAACAGGTACAGGTGGTGACTGCACAGCACCCTGTGCCAGTATTAGGTGGTAGTGATTAAAATTAGTCAGTGGTGATTCACACCACATGTGTAGATTAGTCTGTAGCACACACTCTATGAAGGAGGACTGTGGTAAGACAGACCCTGGACAACCTCCCTAGGGCTTGGAGTCCCCATGGAAAATGGCATTTTATATACAGATTTACTTTTTTTAGTTATTAAATTCTCCCCTGAAGTAGCAAAATGTCTGTTAAGTCTACACTGACTGTAACAGTACAATAGGAACAGGGCCATGTTTGAAGTGTGAAGTGGGTTGGGATAAGTCATACCTCAATACCTCCAAGACTCTGGGCAGCATGGCCTTCGAGCTCCGGGCCCTCAGAATCATCAGAACTGACCCCAATACACACCACAGAAGGAACACAGACTCTCCAAGATGGTCTCTTGCTCTTGCTGCTGCTCTCGTAACTACTAAGACCCATTTTATTTTACACACAGGATTATAGCCACATTTTAAAATTTTAATCACAAACTATTTTTACCATTTTTCTCATAACTGAGTATCTTCACTCAAACAGTGACCAACAAATTTGTTTAGATAATAACTACATTAAAGTACCTTTTCTTTTTTTCTCAAGATAATTTTTTTTTAAAAAAGTAACATGCTAAAGATAGTACTAAAGAAACTTCATCTTTCAATTATGTCCTCTTTATGAAAATATGTAGAAAAATTTTACTTAACTTTCAAAACTTCCTATAACCTTTCTATTCAGAGAACTACCATCTTTGAAATAATCTGAGTGAATATGATCAAGTAAAAAAAAACTGATTCCAAAGACCCCATTACCATAACCACTAATTTTAACAAGTTTCCTAAACATGTCCTATATCAGTCTTCTTGATTGTAAGATGTCAATAATATGGAAATATTTTTAATATAATACATTTAATTATATTAGTTTCCCATCAAGCAATCAAAGACATGTAATGAGGATTACACTAGTCATGCCCACTAGTTTCGGGGAGGCACTTCCACTAATGACTGCCACTGTACTGTTTTTTTTGCCGGACTTAGTTCATTTCCAGCTTAAAGTAGGTAAACCGAAATTGGCTTTCTAATTTTTTAACATTTGGTTCTGCTTTAATCAAACCCAGCTTCTCATCTGTAACCTGTTCTGTATATTTTCTACATGGCTGCATTTTTAGAAATTTGATCAAGAACATCAAGAATCTTTGTGTACAATATTCTTTGCCTCTTGCAAGGACTCTCACATTCAGCCAGTCCCACAAGACAAGTGGTCTTCTGAAGCATACCTGCTATGAAAGCTGAAGAGCCCTATTTTACTGATAAGGAAACTGAAGCTGAGTAAATTATTCTTTTAAATAATTTGAGGAATTTAAATATTTCCAAAAGGACATAATTACTTGATAGAATTAGTACTATTATACATTTACATAAACAACAGAGATGTTGACATTTTCTTCAACATCTCATAAAGATTTAAAGTTCTAGGAATATATATGAAACCATGTGAGAGATAAATGGAAATGTACTTTATATGATAAGTGTTTAGAATTTCAGTGTACTGAGGCTAGAAAGTGAAGTCACACTAGTCTATAATGTAATCACACTCAAACCCAGCACTATCTATCCCTAAAGGGTTGCTTTTTCCTCTCTATCACAATGGACCTACCTCTGAATGACAGATCAAAGAGAAATCAAGCAACGAGGTTAACTGAATTAAATATACTTGCTGACTTCTTCCCTTTGTTTTTGATTTTCACTGAGATCATTATTTGGGGGAAACATTCCAAGTAAATATATCACAGGGTTTCATTTCATTTGTAACCTTTGTAATAATGGGAGGCATAGATGGGAAATCACTAATTTTGATGAAGGGAAGAGGGAGGAGTATTAGAAACACAAGCAAGACTCATGCAAACTGTATAAAGCAAAGTACTAAGGACAATGTAGTACCCTGTGGATTTCAATGAAAAACTGGCGAAATATAAAAAATAAAAGGGGAGCGTGTGTTGGTTAATAGTTATTAGTAATGGAAAAATGGAGAAAATAGGGCCTGGGGTATAGTTCAGTGGTAGGGCATGAGCAGCAGGCCCAAGACCCTTGGATTGGTTCCTTGGACTGCCAAAAAAAAAAAAAAAAGTTAACTAGAATGTATAGGGCTACAATGATATTTCTAGGAAAAAAGTCACAGTACTGAAAAGTATAGAAATTTCAGCTTTCAAATGTAAAGTAACTGACACAGAAATAAAGTAGGTGAATCTAAAGTGAGAAGAAAACATACTTTGCTCTTGTTTCCTCCCATTTTTGTCTTTTCTCATCAATGGCTTTCTTCATGACTTGATACCACTTTCTGAACTCAAACCATGGCTTATCTGAAATAAATGAAATCCATGATTATTAGCAAAATAAATCACATAATAATAACATACACTGTTCACTTGGGTCTTTATTCATTGAAGTAACGAAAGATTTACATAATAGCACTTGGAAATGATGAATGGAGTCACTGTTCCCATACTCTAATGTGACTTTCCTGAGTAGTTTGTCACTCCTCCTCTAAGTTCCTACCTGTACTGTGCCCCCCCACCCCAATATTACACTGTAACCATCTTCTGAAGTGTCGGTTTCTCCTACACTTGACTGTTACCTCCTTGAGAATGGAACATTTTGTTTGTCACTACACAATCAGGTCTCCTCCCCACCCCAATTCCAATAGCCAGCACACACAGTCTGACGCTGCTCCAACATGTTCAGCAAACACATGAATTGAAAAGCAAATGATAAATGTGTGAAATGTGCTATAACAGCTGAATACAGACTTCTAGTTTCATCAGCAACTATTTCTGTTCTTTCTAATCTTAATTCAGATTCTAGAGAAAAGGAAGAAAATGGAATGTATTGGACATCTGGTGTGTGTTCAAAATGCAGCAACATTAAGTACAACAGCATTGAGCACAGTCAAGGATAAAGGGGGATTATTCTCCACTATACTCCAACAAAGACAGTGTCTTTAATGTCTAAAAACATTTTTGACCTAAAACAATATGGCCTTGTAGGTATACAGCCAGAGGGGAAAGCAAACTACCAAAAGAATTGTAAGCATAGAGGACAACTGTAATAATTAACACAACTCAAGGTTCTTTGACCTTAGTAAACCACAATTTTTCTGACTCTCAGTCTCCTCCTCAATGAGGGGAGGAAGGGAATGGAGGACAACAGGGGAACAGAGACATGGGAACAATAATCCTTGCCCTGCTGACAGCAATGATTCTGAGGCCTCTAAGGAAGACAGGTTTGAGTGCTTTCTTTACCCCCACATTACACAGTCAGTGGATCACCTTTAGCATTACAAAGGACATTAGAAAACATCTAGTTCCATCTTTCAATTTATATAGATGCCAACATGAGCACTGTACAGAAAGAAGTGTTTTATTTTGCATATATTCTAGAAAGAATATACAGTGAGTACTACCACGGAGGGATAAGAAGGAAGAGCACTCAGGCAGAGGGAGAAGCAGGAGCAAAGGCTGAGGCATCAGAACAGACAGGGTGATATGTCAGAAAGTTGATGGTAAGTTCATTGTCTAGCTGGGCTAAAGAGAGGAAGTTGAAAGTAAAGAGTCACTGAAATTTCTTAATAGTCCACAGATATAACTAGATAATTATGAAAAAATAACCCTGGTAAACAAGGTGCATTTGTATAGATGAATATGTGCACATGTGTATTATTCAAGTTTCCCCCTACATTTCTTTCATCTTTTAATCCATCATCTACATTCACTTTGCATTTGACTGATAAATTAAGTACCTTGCTTGTTCTCTTCATTATGTATTTCAGCAAGATCAGACAAAGACCTGGAGATAACAATAAATCAATTTACTTAGAAATCATGTATTTAGACAGTTAAATTTTGAATTTTTCTTAAAGAAAAGTAGAAAACAGTAATTTGAAACTGATGTCAAATCTTCATGGAGAAGCAATCACTGAAGCAGGGAAGAAGACCCTATGAATACTATCACCCTTTGTTGACATTTGGAAGGAGTAACACTGTAAAATTCCTCTATGTTCTAAGACAATCTTTAAGAGACAATGCCAGAAGCCTAAAGGTATCTAGATGAAATGCTGAAATGATTCTTTAGGATTTATGATAATATTTTAAAACTCAGAAGTATGGAGTAATGAGAAACACTGCTACCTAAAGATTATGAATGAAATATGGTCAAATGACTGACATCAACAAAGCCAAAGCACTACCTGAGAATGTGTCACTACATGGTACTAGCCAGTATCTACAGTTTCTCACTGAGATAACACATGGAATCCTCAACTTTGAATTATTAGGTAAAAGCAATGTTTACCCTACCACTTAACAAAAGCTAAGATTAGCACAAGAAAGCATTACTTGCTGTATGACTGACACAGACTTACCATTCTAAATTGTCATCCAATAAAAAGAGCAGTTTCAATACAACCACAATGACAGCTACAGCTTGTATGTCATATTTAACAGCTTTTGCCATTTTAGCTATGGGATCAAATGTTAGGAAATCTACTTCTCCTATTCCAGTCATTTTTACCACTTGGCAGGTTAATCCATGCATTTCATCTGTTGAAGAACAAAACAATAAGATGTGAATTAAATTCTTTGGCTAACTAGATTGTAGTTAACATGTGTATCCATATAAGCAACCATTACTTGAGATAATCAGTCAATCAATATTGACACAAATGAAGGGCGTTTGTTGCCTCAGCATACTTAAGTCACCTCCAGGGGCCCAGGAGTGTGTCTATGTAACAGCACCAAATTCATAGCTCTCTGGTTTTTGGTCCATGGCATCATACAACCGAATGCACTATTGAGAGGAGTATTTATGAATTCTGAACACATTGCAGAGGTCCTCTTACAATCTTAAGTATGGGTGGTTTGTGACCAATTTCAGACATTTTTAAATCTCAATCCTAAAGTTCAAGGATTATCACATCTTTTTTTTTTTGAATTTTTTAATATTTATTTTTCAGTGGACACAACATCTTTGTTTGTATGTGGTGCTGAGGATAGAACCCGGGCCGTACGCATGCCAGGCCAGCGCGCTACCGCTTGAGCCCCATCACATCTTATTTTGTAGACCTATTTTGATTAAAAAAATTGCTAACTACTTTCCCCTGCTAAGTAATAAAACAAACTCAATATAGGACATTTATAGGATAATAAAGGTAGAAGAAAGGGAACAAAATCATGAAATACAACTTAGAAATATCTCCTTTAACATTTTGGTGTTTTACTTTTAATATTTTTCATTTCATGTAGCTGTGGTCATGCTATTTTATAATTTGGCTTGTTTTGTTTTTTTATAATAACAAACATCTTTTATGTACTCTTCATAAACATTGTTTTAAAAGCTAGATAATGTTGCAATAATTATATATATATATATATCATTTATATAAATATTACCTTTTTGTTGGATTTTTAAGTTGTTTCTGATTTTTCAGTATTATAAATAAGGAGACCAGTAAAATTTATATATAATTTTTTCCCATATTTCAAATTATTTCTGTTGAACAGATTTCAAGAAGTGAAATTTCTCTTCCCTGGTTCTTTATTATACTGCCTCCAAAATCAATTAATAAATACCAAATGACAATAATGTCTCTCTGCATATACTAAAGTACATTTAATTTTACTCATTCTTCTCAGGAAGAATCAGGTAAGAAATACTTTTATACAATAGCATCCAGAAAACACTGTTACCCTCTTTCTGCACAACAAACATGAGAACTACACTAGCTATTAACCAGCCTATCACATTTTGGTAATCCATGTGTCCCTTCCATAACCTATTCTTTATAAGTTCAAGTTTTTTAGAATATGTGATAAAACACAAAAACTTTCCATCCCTGTGAGAACCATCGAAGAAGTATTTACAAAAATCCAAAGAGTAATTTGATCTGTTACACATCAAAATACAGAAATAAGATCTTCCAAATTCTGGAGTTCTGATCAAATAGTGTCTTTTCAAATCTCATTTAAATCACATTTCTTAGCTTTATAAATGATACATTTGGAAAGCTTAAATTATTTTTGTTCCTGTTTTAAAAAATATTTTAAAATTATAGACATTGATATTTGTTACTAACATTTCTACTTTCATAACTAGCTAATGTATATAGACTGTTGATTATATGCATTTTTTTCACATATGCATTTTCCCTCCTCTAAAATGCATTCCAACTGCGAATGTAGCACACACCTATCTTCCTAGCTATTTAGGAGGCTGAAGTGGGAGGATTTCTTGAACCCACAAATTCGAGACCACTCTGGGCAACCCATAAGACCCAATTTTAAAACAAAAATACATTCAATCACATTTCTGATATTGCTTAAACAATGATGTAATCATAACATGTTTGCATTTTCTCTTAATAAAAGTCCTGAATTTCTCACATTTCTAGTCTAGCAAGAAATTCAGGGCTGGCTTCCATCAGCAGATTCCATCAGGGTTACCTGTGTCTTGGTGTACTGTGAGCAAGGCACAGTGAGGCTCTCTTTAAAGGCTGTCAGTGCCTCAGAGAGTTCATTGTGATGACCAGACTCCCATCTTTGTTTACTTTAGAGACTGGAAATAGCAAATGCTATCAAACAACAAAAACGTTACCACAGATTAACTTCTGGGATTTTTTTAAAGTTAGAACTCATTATGTAGTAATAATGCTTCGTGCAAATAAAGAAGTGCTACATTTTTTTAAAGCAGGTCATTAATGACACATACTAAAATATTTGCTACTTTGCTTGCACTCAGCAAACTTGCTATAAACACCACATATATTCTCTCAAGCATAAATCTCTCACACTAAGATAGACCTTTGTTTCTGAAGAGTTGTCCTTTAACCATTTTAAATTTCTAAATTCTTTTAAGAAAGGATTTTGTAATGAAGCCTCATGTTACTATGGACCCTTTTAGGTGGCTCTAAGTAGTCTATGACTGGAAAGGGATTCTACATTCTACTTCTCACAATCTCAGCAGTGATACCCCTCACCATAGACACCACACCTTACCAGGGAGATTCACTTCCATTAGGTATTTCATACTCAGGACATTGGGATGAAGGTAGCAGGCTTCAGTTATGTCTGGAAAACGAGGCAAATCTAAAAATGTGGCAACTTCAATCACATTTTTATAGATATCCTCATAGTCAGGCCAAGACTGAAATAAATGAAAGGCAGTTAAAAAAGCAATTCTTGTAACAAAAATTATTTTTAAAGTTTTCTGAATTAAAAGTAATATGTATTCTTTGAATAGAATCTGGAATATGGAGAAAAATATGAAAAGGGAAAGCACCTGCAAATCTTTACTATTCTAACTTAACAATTTTCAACATTAACATATTTCATTAAAAAGCTACTAAAATTCTATTTGGCTCATAAAATTTGGCCTTCCTACCATATCTAGTGAAATCATTACTTCTTGCCTCAGAAGGATCTAGAGGAAGGATAAAGTTGAGACTCAACCAGGGTTATGGTGTTGTCAGTACTACTCTAACACACAACTCTCATCTCTTCTGCATCCTCTCATTAATCTTCAAATCCATTTCCACAAATGCAGCCTATGTGAAGTAATATTCACAAGAGTCTATGTGGAAGATAACACCAGGCTTTAATTCTACTAGTTGATATCCACAACTCAACTTCATAATAATTTCTCACATATAAAAGCTTATAAAATTCAGAAAAATCTGAATAAATATCAATATATTAACTCTGTTCAGTCCTTGAAAATTGCCCTTGTTGCTTTTGCATCTTCTGTTTATATTTTTTCAATGTATGAACATTCCTAATATTAATACTACATATACTTTTCCTAATTTATTCATCCACCTGCATAAAAATATCAGGTTTGGAGCCTAGTTTAGGCAAGGTACTGTGCAAGATACTTTGGAAAATACAAAGATAAATGAGATAGATCTCTCAAGAAACTTACAATGTAGAAAGGGAGATAAGGTGTATGTATAAAACAACCATAGTTAAAAATACAAAGTTATCAAAATATTGTAAGGTATAAAAAATGCTCATGAGATTTCAGGAAAATTAACATTTCTGATATGGTAGGACCCTGTTAAAATTGGTCCTGAGTCAACTGACCACAAGTTCAAGGCTGCCTTGGGCAACATGGTGAGACTCTGTCTCAAAATACAATAAAAAGGGCTGAGGATGTAGCTCAGTGGTAGAGCATCCTTGGGCAATCCTCAGTACAATGCACACACAAAGAATTGGTCCTGAATACAAATGCTTTTAAATCAGTTGGTAGTAACTGCAAGTTGAGTATGTGCACATTCAATAACAAAGCAATTCTACTCTTAGCTGTATGAGCCCAAAAGAAGCATGCATACATGGTGCATATGGTGAGGTGTGTCACTGTCTATAGAAAGTTCATAACAACATACTATTTGTTAAAAAAAAAAAAATCCCCAAGCAGGAAACTATTCAAATGCCCATCAATAAATCAATTCTTATAGTCTCACATCAGCAATGAAATGAATGCTCTACATGTGATGGTATGAATCTTCAAGATATAACACACAAAGCCGAACACAAAAGAGAATGATTCCAGCTGGAAGCGGTGGCACACGCCCGTACTCCCTGCTGCTCAGGAGGCTAAGGTGGAAGGATCCTGAGTTCTAAGCCAGCCTGAGCAAAGGGGAAATGCTAAGCAACTCAGTGAGATCCTGTCTCTAATAAAATACAAAACTGGGCTGGGGATGTGGCTCAGTGGTCGATTCAATCACCGGTACAAAAAAAAAAAAAGATTCCATTTATAAAGCAGCTCAGTCTCAAGCCTGAGTACTGTTGGAAGTCAGGACAGCCATGGCTCCAGGGTGGGGTGGCTCGTGAATGGAAGGAGCACTCAGTGGAACCGCTGGATGCTCCTGCAGTGAGGGACTGGATGCATGACTCTTCAGGCTGTGACACTCACCATGCTGCGGACAGTTATGATATGTGCATGTTTCCAGATGTCCATTTTATTTCAATAACCAATAAAAAAGAGGGAATGCAAGAAAGGAAGGGCATCACAGGTTAAGTAACTATTTTGTATAAGAGAGCACCTTGTGTATCACTTTTATGAGAGAAATAATCTAACCAGTTAACAGAGTTGGGTAGATCTTGAGAAGTATGTGGTCTACACCCTATACAAAGTCCCTGGCAGGAACATGTCTGGCCCTTCTTGTAAATCTCTAGTGACAGAAATTTACCACAATCCCCCCCAAAGCCAGTCATTCTTGTGTATACGCAGGACTGAACACAGCATGATGCACACCCTACATTCAAGTTCAATCACTAAGCTATATATACCTCCACCTTAGTCATTCCATTTTTAATAGTTCTAATCATTCAAAAGTTCTTCCTTAATCTAAGGAAAAGTTGCTTCCCAGTTTGAGCTTACAGTCAATGAAACCCCCCAAGTTGTTTTAGAAAATACTGCTGTTAAGTCATGCCTCACCATCTGCTAAATGTGTGACTATGTTTGGGAGCCAACAGAAGGAATTATTATTTCTCTGTAAAATTTCATTTTCTTAAATTTAGCTAATAGGCAAAAATAAAGCACAGGGAGATGCTTTATAATGTTACAGGGATATATATGTTTACAGGAAACAATCATACTACTATTTTCCAGAATTTTTTAATCTAGAATTTAATTCTGCTTTGCCTAAAGCTACCAGCTCTCTGTCTTATAGTCATTTTGATACAGTTATTTCAAATCTAGACTCTGGAGGGCTTTTTTTTTTTTTAATATCTTTATTTATTTATTTTTTTATGTGGTTCTGAGGATTGAACTCAAGGCCTCGCACATGCTAGGTGAGTGTTCTACCACTGAGCCACAATCCCAGCCCCATGGAGTTTTTATTAGTAAAAAAGGCATTCTAATCTATACTATATTAACATGATTAATTTATACCTGTAGAATATAAAGGAAATTTATGTCAATACAAAATTAAAAGTTTGTTTTAATGCTGACATAAATTCTACTTGTACACTAAATACTATTACTTACATTCTAATCTGTGAACTTAAAAGGGAAAGAAGGAAAACAAATTCTCAGCAATTTTGGAAGGTCTTCCTTTTTTTTTTTTTTAATATGGGGGATTGAACCCAGGAGGCACTCTACCATTGAGCTACACCTCTAGTCCTTTAAAAATTTTTGAGACAGGGTCTCATTGAATTGTGGAAGCTAGTCTCAAACTTGTTATCCTCCTGCCTCAAAATCCTGAGTAGCTGGGAAATACAGAACCCAGCTTTCCTTTTTCTTTATAAACTTTGTTCATTTAGACAGAACATGAAGCATCCGTCAAGGGAAGACAATTTTAATATTACTAATGAGATTTATGGCAGCCCTAATCCCTTAAAATAGTGCAAATGAGAGATGAAATTACATATTTCTATGTGCAAATACATAATACACGAGAGCATTTAATATTCCTTTAGAAGAATAATTATTTCAAAAAATGATTTAATGGATGATAAATTCATGAAAAGTGAATCATTAATAAATAGCAATCTGGTAGTTTAATAAGATTCAGTATGTTTTCAAATCTGCCACACTAAAAGCTGGTGTATCAAACTAGACTTCTGGTGACAAGTAGGTCACCATTCTTTCAAATGTTGAGGGGAAAATAGTTATTAATAACAAATCAACACATTTATCCTAAGGCTTAGATTCTAGATTATCCTCCTCTCAATGCAGTATTATAGACTTTGCTTTTTAAATTTTCATTTATTTTTAAAAAGAGCTAACTTTCCCTTAATGAATAACTAAAAATATTGTTTTAAAAGTAGCCAAAGGCGGGCTGTGGCTGTGGCTCAGTGGTAGCGCACTTGGCTGGCATGTGTGAGGCACCGGGTTCAGGTCTCAGCACCGCATATAAATAAATAAAATAAAGGTCTATCAACGACTAAAAAAAAAATAAAAATAAAAATAAAAAAAAGTAGCCAAAGGGTTTTCAATATCATTCCATTTATTTTTTTAACCAGTCTTCTATCAATATTATATATTAAGTAGTGAATGTATTTTAGCAATATATGTTTGATTATATTTAGTAGTACATATTAAAATGTATGAAATATAAAATATTATATAGAATTTAATAAAAATAGACCACAACTTAGAGAAGACCTCTTTTTAAATTAATTTTTAATATATATATTTTTAGTTGTAGGTGGACACAATATTTTATTTTTACCCTACCAACGACGTTCCTTACCCAGCCAAACCCCAAACATTTAGGAACATCTTTGACACATCCTCTTTTTCACATATCACATTCATTCCATTATATAGACTGCATATTCTACCTCAAAACTTGTTTTGTTTTTGTGGCACTGGGGATTGAATCCAGGGCCTCACTGATGCTGGGCAAATGCTCTAACGCTAAGTTACATCCGCAGCCCTTCTTATTTTATTTTGAGACAGAGTCTCACTAAGTTGCCCGAACTTGTGATCCATCTCCCTCAGCCTCCAAAATAGCTAGAATTATAGGCACACACCATCACACCCAACAAAGCTTGATCTTCTTAAAATAAATTTTTATTATATATATTTGAAGACTACAACATTATGTTACAGGATATAGGTAGGCAGTGAAATGGTTCCTATGGTGTAGCACAGTAACATATCTATCACTTCACATCATTTTTAAAAATATGTGTGACAATGGCAGCTAAAATCTACTTAATTAACAAAAATCCCAAATATAATAGTTTTATTAACTCTAGCCTTCCTGTTGTAAGTAGATCTCTACACTGGTTCATTCTACATACCTGTTATTTTGTATCCTTTGACCTACATTTTACCACCCCCCCCATAATAATCACTGTTTTATTGTCTATGTTTTTTTAAATTTATTCTAATTTGTTATATGACAGCAGAATGCATTATAATTCATAATACACATATATAGCACAATTTTTCATATCTCTGGTTGTAGACAATGTAGTTACACCATTTGTGTCTTTATACATATAACATGTACTTAGAATAATGATGTCCACCTCATTCCACTGCCTTTCCTACCCCCATGCCCTCTCCCTCCCTCCCCTTTGTCCTATCTAAAGTTCCTCCATTCCTCCCCACCCATCCCCATTATGAATCAGCATCCTTTTTTTTAAATGAATATTTTTTTTTAAAAGAGAGAGAGAGAAAGAGAGAGAGAG